AGTTGAAATAATAATAATTATAATATTTTGACTAATTATTAATTTCTATATTGCAGCCCAGAGAGTGTAAAAACGCGCAACGATGTATTCTACTTGCAACCGGAACGATCCTGCGTACCCGATTCGCCCGTTTGGTATTCAACGCAAGCACTCAGCCAAGACGCACTACAACGTATGCTGCATCGCGTTAAAATGGTCAAGGAAATAAATATAGCGCTATTGACAACTTAATGTGTAAATAGGACACAGATGCACATACGATTTGTAGTATGAGAATAAACTCATTATGTAATGACATTTAAAGATTACGAACCTTTGGTGCTTAGCACAAGATTATTTGCGGGCAAAACACCAATATAACCCATTCAGCTAAACTAAGAGATAAGCATCTCTCCACGACTCCAATTGTTTAAAGAATCATAGTTGGTTGAATAAGTCTAGCAATACTTATATATATATAAACACTAATAGATATCTATATCTAAATTAACAAATTGTTTTTACGTATTGTAAACAATTGTGCCCTAAGAGTAGCGCAATATTAGGCTCTGTATAGATTATGAATTTAAATTTGAACTTTATCTCAAGCATAAATCTTTAAAAACGAATCAACATCATTTAATAATTTGGCTACCGATTATTTCAAATAAATATATTTGGTTTAAGTTTAGATACATAAGACAACAGCGATGATGCAATTAAGTCATTTTAATTAGATTGTTTATAGTAAACTTGTAGGGAGCGTGCTTAAGTAATCAAATTGCAGTCCCCCAGGCAGCGTATCGATTGAAGCATGCGGCGAGTCGCATGTATTATGTTGAGTATATATTATTGTCTATAACCATTTAAAACAGATACTATGCCGTTGCAGTGTACATAACAACATAAACAATAAGCCAACTACGAGCTGTTGTTCTAAATGTTTTAATTGTAAAATGCTGTACTCCTTAATTAAAAAAGTAATTTTAAATATACGATACATATACATATATTTTACAATCTATAAATTGTATGATTTCTAAAGAACTTGTCTAGATTTTATTGCTTTGATTTGGTTCGACTTGATGTAAATATGTAGTTTTTGCTTTCTGGAAATGCTATATATTGATAAGGCTCAAGCGCTCTGAATGCATAAAGCTACTGTCTATTTTTGTAATTTGACACATTCATGGTAAAGACTACTGAACAATGTAGGTGCTGTGTGGTGTGTATCCTTATAAATATATATATTTTACATATATAATGTAATGGTCCTTATACAAATCTCCATTTCCTTACAAAGTTTCATTTTATTGACAATAATATGCGGAGCAGAGTAATTAATACATATATATTACGATTACAATTTTTTTAAAGAAAACAAAACTTGACGCATTCAATACAAATAGTCGAAACTAATATTAGATAGAATTTTATATGCCCGGCCAGGCAACGTGATTAAAGGAAATTTCACTGTGACTGCCATTTTTGGACATCGTTTGGTCATGTGGGTGGTGCATGTATGTATATGCATGTGCATGTGTGCATGTGTAATTTAGTGCATTTTTATCCGTAGTTCCGTTTGTGTGCGTTTATGTGTGTTGTGTCCATGTATTTGAAGTTGTGTGTGTGTGTGTGTGTATGTGTGTGGCGAGGGAGGATGGTATTAACGTATTTAAAGGCGCACTGTGAGGCATTTCGTTTGTCTTTTGCTTGTTTGTTAGTTTTGTTATTACTTTTCTAATGGATTTTCACACTATGCTTGTTGCCGGTCCTGGTCGATTACCATTCGGCATCACCATTAGATTTCTGAAAAACGTAATCTTTGCCTCGCATATTCATGATGCCGTCCTTGAGATAAAATTTCCATTTGTTGCGCGAGCGTGTGATCTATACAAATTAAATTTGTTGATAAATATTAATCAATTCGTTTACAGAAGTAATAGTTGTCTTACCTTATCATACTGGCAAACAATAACGTTATCTGTGTCAAACACTTCAGCCGAATCCTCGTCAGTGACATCATCCTCACTATTTAACGGCTCCTCTTCAGCAGCGTCCTCGTGCTCTGCATCATCATCATCGTCTTTGTCTAGATCATCGTCGTCGTCATTGTCTATGTTGTCGTCACTCTCCTCGCTTTCATCCTCCTCTGATGAGTCTAAGGCGCCGTCCAGCTGTTTGGATATGGCCAAATTTTCTACAAAATAAATTGTGAAAATTAGTTAATTGTAAAAATGTTCCCGTTGATATTCGGTGTAGTTATCTTACTCTGGTGATTGGCACTGTTAAGAGCAGCATTCACGTGCTGCTGCAGCACGGACGAGGCTAACGTGGTAGGCAATGACATGATCGATGAAATTAGATGAGCGGTCAATATCTGGGTAAGCTGATTCTCCTGCAGTGCTGATGCCGGCACCTGTATGGTGAGCACACGAGATTCAGGATTTGTTGAGCCAGGTGGTGAAGGCAACGTTATCTGCAAAGCATTTGTTGTAATTAAGTTCTCTTACAATCAGGGCTTACTTACGTTAACAGGCATAATGCGATTGGGATCCAATTGGGCGACAATTGGAATTGGCGTCTGTCCAGCGGATGTGGAGCCACCACCTCCAGCCACAGCTTGTTGTTTTTGCAGCATTGTCGAACCGCCTGTAGGATGTAGCGGCGGTGGATTCTGTGATGTGACTTCCTGTTTGATGGTACCAATGCCGTTCTTCATGCCGCTGCCAGCTGCGGTAATGGCATTTCCTGATTTGCCCGCAATCGATGGCGATGCCAGCTTGCTGTTGTCTGTGTTGTTAGTGACGGTGCCAGCGGTTGTGCCACCTCCGTTGCTTTGCTGTGAAGCAGCCGCAGCGGCGGCAGCTTTTTTAGCCTTGGCATTAGCAGCCTGTCAAATAGAAGAATAATTAGTTAAATATGCTATGGGAGCGAGTGCTAATTACTGCATTACCTTGGAGCTCTGCAGCAAAGAATGTGGGCGAGTGTGTATGAGTGTGTTTATGTGTTGTAAGATGATAGCAGTTACATATACATAAAGCAGCAGTCGGTGTTGGTATATATATTTATTTTTATGTTGATGTGCGCGATCAATTGTTGTTGAAATTGGAGACAGATAGAGAGAGAGAAAAAGCAACAAAGTTAAGTCAAGTCATACTTGGATTTTAACACAGTTTGTGCAATACATATAAGTACGATTAGCTCTACACACACACACACACACACACACAGATAAACTATTCAAAGATAGACAAACGCGCTACACATCCATCGAAGGCCTTGGCAACGGGACACACACCTTGCTTACCTTTGGATTATTGGCCACAATGGGCGGTGGGTGGTGGCCTGGCTCGCCGGGTTCGGGATTCAATTCAACCGCCTTACTTGCTAATAGCTTATTGCGCCATATCTGTTTCATCTCCTGCAGCACCTGCTCATCGACGCCCTCATCCAGAAAGGCATCGCGCACATTGTTGATGACATCCTCAATAACGGCATGATAAACTTTCAGCTGTCACAATAGAATTAAAACAGTTTGGTTAATTATCAGCAATCAAGTAATTTTGAACTTTAAAAATAAAGCACGGCAATTAACCAACACCTGCAACACTTGAAAAAATAGAGCTAATGGAATAATATAAACATGTGTAAATATGTAAGCAAAGTCAGTTAAGCAGTGCAGATTCATAAATATTATATATGTATATGCATATTACATATGCAAAATTTAACCGACTGTGTGGCTGATTGTTATCAGTCTAATAGACGAGGACTGGGTCAAGTTCTTAGAGTATCTGCTGCAATAACTAAACTATTAAATGAATACGATTTAATAAATTGAGGTCAACTGCAGTCAGCCGGAAGGTTGCAACATACATGTGTGCGTGTGATGCCCATTTACTGTTATATATCCTGCGCTTGTCTTTCTATAATAAAGCAATTCAATCGCAAGTTCTCATTGCCTATGCATGTGTATATGTATGTACGTATGTATATGTATGTATGCATCACAATTCAAGTGCTATTTTTGATTGCAAGCATGATCTCTGCTGCTGCGGCAGCTACATTCTTTCGCACATTTAATTTATCTGCTGACATATACACAAATAGATGCGATACGTAATTGTGACTACTATCAAAGCTAAGATAAGAAATTGTATGCTGATAATAAGACAAAGTGTATAAACAAAATAAGAAATCCATTGCTTGCGTTAACACGTCAATCGCAAACATATGATTTAACACATACAAACACATAAACATATTTGTATATGTATGCACAATATGTGCGCGAATCCTTCTGCACGCCACATTCGTGTAAAGATACACACAATCGCACGAACACAAAGCGGCAGACATGCCGCCGCCGCAGGCATAAGGCAACTTACGCTCATGACTTCTGAAGGGGCAAACTTTCACTTTTGAGGTCAATCATTTCTTTGATTCCATATGTTACGGTGTATCAATTATTAATCAACTTAAGAACTATTAATAATTGACTAAGCACACATTATTCTATGTGTACATGTAAATAGTGTAGGTTTTGTGTTTTATAGGGTATAGATTTGTTGTAAAATATACATAGTAAGACTTTGATATATGTATGTGCAGTACATTGAAGAATATGCGTGTGGCTTACCACTGAGGTTTGGCATAAAGCCATCTGTACTTTTTTCTCCGCCAGTTTGAGGCCTTTCTGTGTTTACTCTTGATCAAATTGAACACTGTAATGGACGTAAAACCTTAAAAAATTACAATTATGAAAAAAATGCGTCTCGTCTGACACACACAGATGTGACGAAGATACGAAGTAAAAACACGACGAAGCAGTGTGCCCGTTTCTTACGTCTCGATAAACACCAAACCAATGCTGCCAGACTGCTAAGTTCTGATATATAAACAACTGTTACATCCATCCAGTGATCCATCACAAAGTAAAATCACAGTTTACTTTTCACATTCATATATTTTGTTAAATAACAAGAGCCTTCGCACTTAACATGATAATAACATTGACAATTTTTATTTAACTATTCTAATCATATTCATCACAATTCTGGCGCTCGCTATTGAATTCGAGATCATCATCATCCTCGTCGTCGTCGATTTCTGCGCCAGGTTTATAATCCAAATCAGAATCACCCTGTTCGTAAAATGGATCCTCCTCGTCTGATTCCAAATCTGAGGGCTCATCTGTGCGCCCATTAAAATTACGCGTCTGGTTGCGTCGCTGCCTCAAACGATTTCGAATATTCTGGGCGGAATTGACTAAGCTGCAATTTAGCTGCCATCTGCCCCATCTATAACGTATTACTTACAATCAGATGGATGCGAATGCTGTTGGAAATGTATAGGATTGCGACGATAGCAGGAATTGCCAAATGGACAGGCCGGTGTGCCCAATGGTGGTATTGGAAAACTCGGGCGTCTGTAATCCGAATCCCCCGGATGAGCCTCGCTACTCCGATGAGCCGGATTGCGTCTAAATATTAAAAATTTTATAGTCTCTGTGGACATCCAACAAAAAACTATGATTTTGAATTACCTGTAACACTTTATGCCAAAACGACAGGATGGCCTTAACGTGCTGGACGAAACTGAGCTATCGGCAATCACTGCTTGTGTGCTAGTATTTGGCTCAGTTTTCACAATAACTGCGGAGCTGCTAACTGCATCCGTCATAACAGATGTATCGTCGTTAGTCGACTCCTTTTTGATTGGAATGGTTAAGGAGTTAAGACTAGTGCTAGCCGGAGCTATGTCACTGACTTCGACGGCAGGTGAACCAGCATGATCTTTATCCATGTTAGCAGATATATCGTCTTGGGTTGGTTCTTTTTTTATTGCAATAGTTGCGGCGTTATAGCAGTGGTTAGAGCTAGTGCTAATTGTAGCATTGTCACTAACATCGGCGGTAGGTGAGTCATCATGTTCATCAACTGGTTCCTCTTTAATGGTCACTTTAATGCTGCTGCTGGCGGACTCTATTTCGTCTGGAGCTTCCGTTTTTACAGTCTCTTTGTCCTCAGATACTGCGTCTTGATTATCCTCAGATTTCTTGCGTTTATTTATTGCGCTGGTATCCGCATTTGCTTGTTTGTCGTCGGAAAGCTTCCGCTTTGCAGTTTCAATTGCCTCTGGTATATTTTGTTTATTATTATCCATGCTCGAGATATCCACCAACTTCTCTACTTCATTTGCGCCCATGTTAACAAACCCAAATAAATATATTTCTATTTCACAACGCGATTGATGCGATCATTAGAGTTATCGGTTTCATGCCAAGAACTAACTCGATATTTCGATATACACAGCTACTTCTGTAAATCAGCAAACCGCTCTATTTCGAAGGAGTTAATACGCTTTGATGCGTGGTATTGGAAATGCAATATACATAACAAAAAATTAATGTTAATTAATAAACCGGTAATCAAATAATTCTGTTGTACTTAAGGCTGATTGTGATATTTATTCAAATTAATATACATATACACTTATAATATACATCTAGGCCGTGTCAGTTGCAATTGATCGTCCTGTCCAGTGCAGCAGCTTCCAAAAGCACTTGCATTATTTTGTCCTTGGTATTTTCCGATGTTGCAACCGATAATTGCCGCAATCGATCAGCAACAAAGTCCCCAAATATTTGCGATGAATCCTTAAGATTTTTCACGGCAACAGTGACAGCATTTGTGATGCTTTCCTCATCTACGTGTGCTGTGGGTGCAGGATTTTCCATTTGATCGTCAGACTGTGTGGTGGACCCATTGGAGAACAAAACCTGCTCTGGTTCATATAGCGCTAGACTCTCTATAATGGCCTCGTAATCTGGTCCATTACTAGCGCTCTTCTCTGTTTTAACAGGAGACAATTTCATATCGGGTTTACTGTCACGAGTATGGTTTTTCAAACGCTTGGGTTCTGTAGCTTTTCTGGGCTTGTAGTCCATGTGGTGGTCCAAGGAAGAGTCATCATCGTTGCTCTGTAGTTCAAATAATGAAAATATGATCGCAGATTAGATTGCTTCACATTCTGAAGTTCACAAGAACTATGCTTACCGAGTCAATTCTTTTTGCTTCAGTTGCTGGATGCATTTTCTTGTGTTTCTTTGTAAGCGCATGAGCGCGCAAGTCGCATATCTTTGTATTTACTCCACATTTGCAAAAACGACAACGTGCTCTGTATGAGTCCTCGGGGTCTCGCCGTAACCATTGTCTAAATTCTGGCATTTGGAGCCAGACTTCTCGCAGTTTTTGCTTATATCTCTTCATAATTAATTAACAAAATTTACAGAAATAACAAGACAATTAGAGATGGTAATAACAAACCGCTTAGTGAAGGTCGATTAAAATAATAATAGTAATAGTCGATAATAGTCGATTAGAGCATTACCCAACACTGGCTAGTTCATTCGAAATATATACTGTCAATACCGATGTATAATAACACAAGCACGACAATAATATAGCACACACATCTTCCAACACTTAGCACATACAACACGTGAAACTTTAGGGAATCAAAATGAAGACGGCCAAAGATAAATTAAAAAAGAATGATGAATTGAAAAATCAAGAACAACTTGTTGATGTTGCGGAGAAAAGCAAAACAATTAAAAAGGCACCAAAATTGAAGAAACCCAAAGCGGCGAAACCCGCCAAACAAGAGGCGACCGTAAAGGAGGCAAAAGAGAGCCCGAAGAAATTATCTGTCGCTGATTTAGCCAAAATAGAAAAGAAAAAGGCTAAGAAACAGGCACAAAAGTTGAAGAAACAGCAGAAAAAGTCGACGGCCGAAGCAGTAGAAAATAAATCTAAATTAAAAGTCAAAGCCGCGCCAAAAACAGAGATAACACCTGACCAAAAGAAGAGTGTACCAGAAGCAAAATCAGCAACAAAGTTTGTCAAAAAAACAAAAGAGAAAAAGAACAAGAAGAAAGATGATGAGGATGAAAGTAAGAAATTAAACTGCGCAAATATATTCAACTCTCACATTTTTTGAAATTTGTTTTAATAGATGAAGTGAAGCGGGTACGAGATCCTGCCGCCGAAGCTGCGACAATATTTATTGGAAATCTTCCCATAAATACGAAGCGCGTGCAACTTGTGCGCTTACTGAAGCCTTTTGGAACCGTCCACTCAATTCGTTTCCGTACCGCCGGTGGAAAGAAGATATTCAAGGTCAAGCAGCGGAAGACAGCTGGCTCCTTAAATGCCTACGTGGTACTAGACAACCCAGAGATCGCACAAAAAGCACTTACGCTAAATGGTACAGAATTTAAGGAGAATCATTTGCGTGTTACGCCTGCCGCGAAGTTCGGCAAAGTGAACGGTGTTGGCAATGGAGAAGCCTCTAGCGATGCCGACGTCAAGCGAACCGTATTCATAGGAAATCTTAAATACTGTACGTAATCTTCTATGAAATATTACTGTTTTCTTTATTGATTCTGTATTTCTTGCAGCGGCCAGTGAGCAAAAATTGCGGGAAATTTTCTCCAGTTGTGGCGAAATTGACTACATCCGCTGCCTACAGGACGGCGAGAAGGGCTGCAAGGGTGTTGCATATGTTTGTTTCCAGAAACCAGATGCTGTCGGTCTAGCACTGGAGCTGAATGAGACGCTACTGGATGATAGACCCATACACGTGGAACGCTACTCTGTGAAGAAACTGGGAGCTAGGCAGGCGCGCGATGCTGTTGCTGCGGCGGGACCGCAATCCAAGCCCAAAAATAAATCGAATGCGCTGGGTGCTAAGAAACGCGTAGATAAACGGCAAAAGAAAGTGAATGCAAAAGGCCAAGAACCCGCCAAATCGCCAGCTAGTAAAAAGAAATCTGAATACCGAGGCGTTAAAGTTGATGCAATCAAAAAGAACAAGAATCCAAAAAAGAAAACTAATAGTCAAATGAATACGCTTGCCAAGAAAATAGCGCCAAAATCCAGTAATTAAGTTGAAACAATCAATTCATTAGAATCTTCCACTTTTGAGTTAAAGTTCATGTTAGGCATTTATGTAAATATTTTACTGACAACAAAGCAAATATTGTTTGGGTTTAAATTTTCTTTCAAGCTTAACATAAATAAACCTTTTTTTAAACAAGTAACTATAATTAATTTTTGGCTTAAATTGAAATGCAGGATGTACGGTAATCGCGCCTTGATTGATTCTCAAGCTGAATTTTCGCGAAGCGGATCGAATTTTTAAATTTTACATTTTAGTGATGTGCAGAGCTATCGTTTGAATATAGGTGACCTAGTTTTAGACACTAAAGCGATATTCAAATTGAGAAATTTTTTTGGACACGTCTAGTTCTTATATTACGTTTTGCAGTTCAGGTCGGATAATATAAATAATCCCAATAATACTTCAAAAAGACTGCTGTGCAGCCGCTGCACAATTGTATGTAATTGTATCTAGTAGCCATAGCCATAGCAATGAGCTTGTCATCAGGAACGATTATTATTATTTCAGTCAGCTGTTTGTTACTTGGTTGTGTTCACTCACAAATTTCGTGTATTTGATGATTTCCTTCTAATTTGTGACTTTTGAATATTAAAAATTGAAGGTAAGCAGAACTTATGCAACATTCGTTGAGATTCGCAAACGTACGTTTATTCGCAGAATGAATGTATGTAAAAATTTCAAGTTTCTACGAGTTGCACGTGATTGTATACGCAACTTTGGCGGACGTGCGGTATCACCCAGATCTACAAGTAATACATTCACCTTAGAGCCACTGCACCAACGAGAACTTATTCGCGTTCATGGTGCGGAGGTAGTACCATTCCTGCAGGGTCTTGTCACCAACGATGTGTCGCGCCTGCAGGAACCGAGTGGACCATCATCGATGTATGCTCTATTTTTAAACCGAGGCGGTCGTCTGCTGTACGATACAATTATCTATCGAACAAATGATCCGGATACATTTCTCTTGGAATGCGATCGAGATGCATCATCGGACTTCCGACGCCATTTGCGCACATATCGCGTACGGAAACGGATCGACATCGACACCATTGATGATGAATATATGCCATGGGTGCTCTTCAATGAGAAGGGGCGCGGCAATATACGAACTCACAAGGCAATGGATTTGTTTATAGCGCCTGACCCGCGTATTGGCATCATGGGTACACGTGTCTTGGCTCCCGGCGACATTAATGCCACCAAGCTAACTAAGGATTTATGGTGTCATCACGATGTTGTCGCCGTCCATTCCACGCCCGAATGCAACTATAAGTTGCTGCGCTATAAGCAAGGCATCGGTGAGGGTGTCGCGGAGTTACCACCCGGCAAGTGCTTTCCGCTGGAAGCCAACGCCGATTATCTCAATGGAGTTAGCTTCAACAAGGGCTGTTATGTGGGCCAGGAGTTAACGGCTCGGGTTCATCACTCTGGTGTCATACGTAAACGTTATATGCCTATTCGTTTTACGGCGCCCGTTTCCAACCATTTTACGGTCAAATCTGTGGCTGGCGCAAATCTTGGACGTGTCTTTGGTCATGCACATAATCATGGCGTTGCTTTGTTGCGTGTCGAGCCCGCGCTAAACAGCGAACAGCAATTGATGCTAGACGGAGAGCGTTGCTATGTGGATCGTCCGAGTTGGTGGCCCAAAGAAGCAGTCACAAAGCGTAGCTTTGCTGCATTGGAATAAGCATTGGAGACTTGAATGCCTTTTACATCATTGTTTGCAATTTTTCAATTTGTATTGTATATAAGAGATAGATTAGCTAGTTTATGAAGTTGTGTTATTAGTTTCGTTGTGGCCTTCACTCTTGCAGTGCTCCAAATGGCACAGGACTCGGCCGACTACGCCATTGAGGATGATGATCTTTGCCTCGACAACGAGGCGTCCGAGATTCAACGACTTCAGCTGACAGCTCCAGTGGAGCCGCAACCACAGGAAGATTTAGATGAACGTGTGGCCAAAATCGAATTTCATTGCAGTGTTTGCAATATGCACGAAATGGTACATTACTATGGACGAGCGCCGCCTTTCGCTCTAGGCATTAAATTTCGTGAAGACAGCTATGTGTTACGAGATCCCTTTCAGGCACCGCCGCCACGTTGGCAATCCAAACCAGAGTTCTACGTGGCATTGGGCGTAAAGTGTTCCAGTTGTAACAGCGTTGTGTGTAAGGATACTTCATGCAGTTTCTATTACACAAAAACCTTTTGCCTGGAATGTGGCAAGGTCGAGCTCAAGAATTGGCCTGTGGAGGCGCAAAGTCGATTTCGTAAGCAGCTGGCAGCCAAAAAACCATAATAGGGATTCTTACTTATAAAAAGGTCTTTAATATGTATATGTAAAACATCATATTTTAATTCTTGTTTTGAAAATGGCGAAATATATTTTGAATTCGTAACGAGCAAGTTCAACAGCTGTTATTATTAGTTTGTTATCGATGTTAATACTCGATATATTTTGTATTGCAATCACACACTACGATAGGTCGCACCAATTAAACCAAAAATATCGGAGTATCGATTTTAGTTCAAGAAACAACAATCATTTGTTCATTCATTCAATTCGGAAGCGAACGTCAACCAAGTAGGACGCTATTACCGCGTCTTTCCTATTGTTGACTATATAGACCGTGTTTATTGTGTTTGTGTTTATTTGTTATATTGAATGAAAATGTATAAATAAATGTAATCTTATGTGTCAGACTGTTATTTGATAAATAATGTATTGACCATTCAGTGTTAAATAAAACGCCTCTCAATGCAGTTCATGAGAATTTGACATTTAAATGATGTTGTTGTAACAACGACTGCAGGCAAAAATTGTGGCACTGTAGCGGCGGCTTGTTGGCGTTGCGGCTGCTTGTAGACCAAATTCGCGGACGCGGACGCACCCACCCAAATCCAAAACCAAAGCCCCAATTCCAATTTGCTGTGTAACCAAGCGCAAGTGTTTGTGCCTGTGTGTGTGTATATATTACGTGTGTGTGTATGCGCGGGCGAGGCAGGGACAGGAGCATGGGCTGCCCAGCCGGTTTCGTTGCGCGAGTTAATTGACAACAAAAAATAAGCAAAATATACATATACAAAGAAAGAAGCATAAAGCGTATGAGCAAATATCGGCTAATAAAGCATGCAACAACAATCGAGAAACGCTGCAAACAAATGCTTAAGTGTTTGTGCATGTGCAAACACACACACAACTATATGCATGTTCGTTGTGTGTGTGCGCAGATTTTCAACTGAAGCTGTTTCACGCCAACAACAAGAACAATAACAATCTTCACCATGCACACCTCGCATTGAGTGAGAGGTTCCTGCATTAGTTCTATAATTAGTACGGAGCTAGCTCGACTATTAGTTCCCACAACAACGCTTCAACTCAACCAATAATACCCGCCCACCCACACATTGAGAAAAGCCATGCAACGTCCGGACCAGCTTCAATTGGCCATTCTTGTGTACCTCTGCTGCTGCTGCTGCTGCTGGTTGACAGTTAATGCGCACAACTGCCAGCACCAACATCCCAAAGCCCACGAGGTGAGTAGCAGACTCCTAGACCATCTATACTATACTCCCAGTCCATCATTGATTCACCTCGAAATCCTTTATCCGTTGATTTGCAATTTGCCATTGTTCATTTCCGCCCGTGTGCCTGTGTGGGGGCGTGTATGTGAGAGGCGTGTGTGTGGCCTAAGCTCGTCATTAGATGTTAACTCGTTATCGAATTCGGGGAAAACTTATAATTGGCTCCCACCGCAACTAATTAGAGCATTTATGCGTATTAAAAAGCTATTTTGTTTGTGCTCTACTCGTATTCAAATTTATTCTTGTTATTTTGATAAAACCATTGCCAATCTTGGGTATTCCAACCTGCAAGCTGATTTAGCTGCATGAGCCACTGATTGACATGGATATTAACATTGGATGAAGATAAATTTGCAATAGTTTTAGATGTGCTTGAATCTAGCTCTGAACTGAGTTTGAACTGGTTTCGAAGAGCTGCAAGAATAATAAACTTTTGAACGCGTTGCCACTCTAACGAATGCTGTTGAAATCTGATTAATATACACACACGTAGATTTGCAATTTTGAAAAGAGCTTCAGTTCAGTTCAGTTCTCATACATCAGTTTCGCGTGAAACTGGTGACTGATGGATGGATTGACTAAGCTCATTTGGTAATCGCATCTGACTCATATGATTCAGTGCAGTCTCATGCAACGGCCTCTAACGGTATGCCAGTTACCGAATCGCCCACAGCTCGAGTCGAGCGCGTGGCTCAAACCGGCTGTCGCCCGGTTTAATGTCCGACACCTGTTGCGTCGACTCGATGGCCAAGTGCAACGCATGCTTGCAACGACGCGACGTTCTAAATGCAACCGACATCCATTTTAATTGGCGCACTCGCATAAAAAGGAAAAAACGGAAAAGGTCACCGACAATTGCGGTAAAACGAATAATTTACATAATTATTGTAAAGCTAGCGCTGATGCTGGCTGTGACCGGTTCAGATACTGAGAATTGTATCGAATGATATATGTATGTATATAAATATATATATTTATATTTTATGTGTATTGCATTTAAATGAGAGTCTGTAGAAAGCGAGTCGAATTACAGGGCAATTAACCTTTTAATACCCTGTATATTTTTTTGTTTCAACTAAAATGACAAAATCAATAAGTGTTATATATGGTTATTATGAGCTTAAATATACGCCTAAACAACATTTACGTGACTAATCGTAAAAAATATCTTAAATTGTCTTTAGACTATTTAAACGTGTTCTAAACATGTTAATATAGATAAATAAAATTAATGGGCATTTGACCAAATTTCAACGAGAAGTTGAAAAACTAAGACTTTAAGAGCCTACAATTGAGTCAATACTTTTGAATGTTTAAAATTTATTGAAATATCTAGAATAGATAGAGATACTTACTTCTTATAAGTAAAAGTAGCGTTAGTCCATTTGAAAACTTTTTGAAATACATAATCTTGATTCATTCTAAGCAATATATTGGAATCAGGGGAGCAAAATAAATTGTGGCATAGAGTTTCATTAGTTACTATTCCCCTACAGGGTGTAGCCCAGCCACCCACTATTTAGGGTCAATTTCTGTTTCAGTTTTTCCGCATAACTAATTAATTTAATTATTTGTAATTTGAACTGTGTTATATGCAGGCATTCCCGTCGAATGACCCGCCGCGATTGCCGCCCGCCCAGATCCTGAGTTATGCGGTGATTGCTCGGATTTATACGAGTATGTAAATGTGAACATAAATGCGGGCACTGTTGGCGACTAAGTGCCAGACACTCGTACACCCGTACTCCCGTCCATCCGTCCAATCAAACACAGAGCTCTGTTTTAATTAGACTTAAATGAATTGAAACAGGGAAAGGCAACAAATTGAATCATCTCTCTGGTTACTCAATGCTGTTGCTGTTGATAGCCATTGAGATAAAGCAAAAAGATAGAGAATAGAGATAAAGAAAAATAAAAGATGCTTAGGTATGTGAGGCATATCATAGTTTCTAAGCTAAGATAAGAAATTTGGAATTGAATTGAACAGAATTTTCATTATTATAATGTATGAGATTTAATCTATTGGTTATGCATTCCTTTAATTTGCTAATGATTATATATGCTATTATATGTCTCTCTCGATATATGTATGTACATTTGTTTTCATGTTTATTAGTGTCGCTCTACGCAAAGTTTATATATTTTGCTTTTCAACATTCAATGCTCAGTCGCAATAATATTTCCATGAACACAGCTGTATATATTCCGTGTATGTAACTAAACTTCTATTGTGCACTCAATGCCAAGCAAAATTACCTGAAGACCTCTTGAAAGGTTGTCTCCAGTCTGGCCAGTAGCAAAACTGAGAAGGGTATTGGAGCTAACATCTTTGGCCTCGAAATTTGTGCACAGATTTCTGTTTTTGTTTACCTTCATAATTGGCAGCAGGTTACAGATTTGCATACATATGCACACACACACACACACGAACGCGCCATGGGATTCATGAATGTTGAACGTGGGTGTATGTGTGTGCGTGTTGTGTGTGTCCTTGTAAATTGCAGTTTGTTGTGCTGGACTGGAAAGTGGGAGAAAGAATTGTAATCTCGATTGCAGCTGCAGAACTGTTCTTTTTATTCTAAGCAAAACATTTGAATACTCTACACATGTTATATTAATAGACTATGTACAAATATACATATGTATATGCATGTGCATATGTATATTTACTTTTTTAAATGTTCTAGCTCTAGAAGAGTTCCTTAATAGACATAATTTTAGCTTAAGGCATTTAATATTCGTTATTAGGTAAAAAATTGTTCCTTCTTTTTATATACACGCCAAATACATGAAATGATATACATATGTACATACATATATACCTATGCTCATTGAAGGCGTTGTGTAAACAAACGGGCAAATAAACAAGTGCGAATGATAAAATCGCACAACTTATCTCCAGCTGATGCTGTATATAACTGTGTGTGTGTGTGTATGAGTGAGTGAGTGTGCGTGTTTGTGTGTCTGCGAACTGACAGAGAAACAAGTTTGTCGAAAGCCATAGAGTAGCCAGCTAGTTAGTTGATTATGCTATATAGCTGGAGGCTAATTTTGAAACACACGCCAGGTTAATATTATGAATTGGCGCTTTATTTATTTACATAGCGCAGATAAAACGCAACAAGTTGACCAAAACGACAACTGTGAATGATGCAAAGTGTGTGGCTTAGTCCAGAGTCCAGAGTGAAATACTTTAAGTAGGTGGCAACCTTGAACAGCCACACTCCTCTCTCTCGCGCGCTCTCCCCTCTCTCGCTGTGTTTGTTTTGTCTATTCACTTTTCACTCCCGCTGGCCATCATCTTTCGGCTCAGCCTGCATTCGGACTACGCCGCATAATAATGTGATACAATGGAATATTGCAAAGCGAATTTGGACGCATTTCCAGTGAACTTCAAATTGGATTTGAGTTTGTTCTCAATTATTGTCACGGCTTTTGCGCTCCAGCAATGCTACGTGCCGTTCCACGCAAATAAGGGATATGGATACTAAGTGCTAGCACTATATATGTATGTATACTGACATATGGGCCTACAAATGCAATAATAAACGGCCATCCGATTTTATTCAATTTACGCCTGTTAGCCACTCAAATTGGAAATAATTCATTCTAATCATTGCCTCTGACAGAAAAGTGCGTGTGTGTTAATGTACGTCGCATGGCAACTGCATAAAGTTTGTGTGTGTGCGTATTGATGTGGTTAGTTTATTAATGTGCCTTTGTGTTGTATTCATCACCTTAATTAAGTAACATGTCCGCTGCGGTCATATTGTGAGGTAACAAACAAATTGAGCGCGAGAGAAGCAAATAAACCATAAAGTAGCACAGCATGCAAAGTAGTCGCTGATCAATAATGCATGTGCAGACAGACACATACACACTGACACACACACGTTTACTTGCATGTGTGTTGCTTGTAAAAGAAACTATTAAAGTGGCCAGGGCTACAGCGAAGATTGAACGAAAGTGAAAGCACATGCACTGTTATCACACTGTCTCGCTCACTCGAAGTCAGTCAAGCTTGAAAGCTTCGATTGATCTGGCCGGCACTGCGGAAGAGCGCCAAAGTGTTGACAAAAAAGTAAAGACGTGTAGAAGTAAAAAAAGAAAAGAGCAAGAGGAAGAGTGTGCGAGGCAGAGAGGGAGAGTGAAATGTCGTCATGGTTGGCCTGGCTCAGTGAACGATTGACAGATTGACTACACGACGCACGTAAATAATTACTTAACATAGCGCCCGCTCGTCTCTGCTGTTGATCGATTCACCTGCTCAAATTAGCATGCGCAACTGTTAAGTGCCCGGCGCCCACTGCTCGGCCCGGCACATGCGTGCAACAGATCGTGTTTACGGTTTATGGGCGTTTTTGTTTGTTCGTTTGACTAAAAATGCAAAGACGGGAGTCAGCCAGGCGCAGCAAACGGTACATTTCTCTTTTTTTTTTGCCCCCTCCTTCTCGGTTTGCACACCCCTGGCC